ATCTCCCACCTTCCTCCCCTACTTTAAAGTACCAACTGCAATTTCAACTTCTAGACAGTTCTCCCAAGATGTCTTGCTCCCCAGACTAAAGGAGGACAGAGCTACCAAGCCTCACCCCACCCACCTCACCTGACACCCCCCACACATCAGCCGCTCTTCTCTCAGGCCGCAGAGTGAGAAATGAACCCACATTCTCCTTCCTTCTGACACTCATCAGAGGTGCTATCTTGCTGGACTCCTTCTGGCAGGACTCGGATCCCCTGCCTTTTCCTCCCCTTCACAGGGGCCTGTCTGGCACAGCAGCTATGAGGCTGGAGCTGGTGAAATGAGGGCTAGGAAAATGCCGTGGGTTTCTGGCCCACAGCAATGCTAACTTTACCGCTCACCTCTCCCCATACAGAGAGAGAAGATGTCTGAGTGTGTCTCTTCCATTGTCACCGCTTATCGCTTACACAGAAGCAGTGAATAGGCTCAAGATCTCCTATCTACAGTTCTCTGCATTTGAAAATGAACAACTGGGCCCTGAAAATAATGTGGTGGATTAAGGTGCAGCAGCCACTGTACAAAGAATAAAAATTAATTTCTAGCCAAACCTGCTCTGCTCTCAGGAAGGTCCTTGGACACTGCAGTGAGGCAGACAATACGTGCTGCTGATAAAAGTTTCCACACTGACAAGGTGAGCAAACTCCAGAGTGAAGCCTTCTCTCACACTCTTCAGCTGAACACATTTCCCCCAAACACTAACTGAAACGACAGGCCGGCGCAGCTTTAATTTTGTTGTAAGAGCATTTCATCCATGCTTCTAGCGCATCCCATCCTTCACATCTGCTTAATTTTGCTCTATGACATTGATCGCCCTTTGACATATTATAAATGTTGCTTGCCTGTTTGTTGTCCAGAATACAAGATTCTCAATGACAGAGACTTTTGTCTGATTTTTTTTGTTTTTGCTGCCTTAACTCCAGCACTTAGACCAAGTCTGGCCCATGGTGGGTGCTCTGTAAATGTACTAGGTGAAAGGGTGAGTGAGACACTGGTGAGAGAGGGCCAGGCGTACCGCACTTTGTTGGGTGCTGAGGTCACAGTGATATACAAGACTCGCGCTGACTCTGCCCTCCAAGGTGCTTTCTCTGGTCTAAATCTCACCTGTCCTAACAGAATGCTATTAATTGTGTAAGATTTTCTGAAGGGTTGACAATAGAGAACTTGAAAACACCAAATCACTTACTTAGAGAGTAAACATCAGTGCTCTTAAATTCCTTGAACATCTACCGCATGGTGGTAAAATAAGGAAGATGACAGGCTCACTCTTTTCTCTAACTTTTCTCACCTTTATGTCCCAAGGCCCAGGACCTAAGTCTTGGCCTAGCAGGGAAAAAGCTGAATGCCTTCACTTTATTTCACAAAGGAATTTTGCAAACTGCCCCCCTAGGCAGACCTGCAAGGGCCTGTTTTATAACCAAAGCTACACTAACACCTTTTCCTAAACAAAAGAGCAATTCTAACCCCTCTTCAGCCTACCACCAACACATCACCCCATGGCTTTGATTTTCTTTAAGAACACAGAATCCATTGGGGTCTTTTACTTTTATTATTCAGCAATTTACACATACACAAACACACAGTTATGAATGGTAACAGTATATAGCTGTGTGCACTGAATACTGAAGACTCTTCAAAGGCACACCCAGGAGGGTCAAGGGCTCCAGGCCACAGTCAGCCAGTGGCGCAGTGTACCACCCAGCCAGCCGTGCTCAATAGCAGAAATATCAGTGGGAGGACAATGGAATTCAAGCCAAGAGGCAATTGCTCATATTAATTTAAATAAGGTCAGATCCTCTTACTCTGTATTTAAGTAAGAAATTTAAGTCATAAGTTTTCTTTCTACCTGTATGCATACAGTAGGATAAGGAAATTTAAATTACCCTGTTCTGGCTTAAGGACAAAACCTCATGGGTATTTATAACTTTCAGAAAAAGAAATGTCAGTATAAATACGTTACTAGTGCAAAAAGTTATTAGGAAAGAAAATCAATCCCATATGTAGACTTTTGAAGATTAAAACTGCTTTCATAGAATGTAACAATGCTCATTCATCCATCCATTCAAAAAAACTTTATGAATTACCTACTATGTGCAGGGTACTGACCTAGAAACACCAGGATTACAATTATTGGAAGCTCATGGAAATTATATTTTAGTGGAAATAAACACAAAATTAAGTGAAAAAGTAAAATGTATATTAGATAGTGATGATTGCCATAGAGAAGGAGAGAGGCAGAGACAGACAGGGGAAGAGAAATCAGAGAGTGTGTTGCCAAGAGCAGGGAGATATTGCAAATTTCGATCAAGATATTACAAATTTCATTCTTTGTCAAGAAAGACTGCAATGACAAAGTGACATTTCAGCAAAAGGCTGGTTGTGGACAGAGAGCCAATATTTGAAGTTAGGGATTTGCTATACTCATCTGTTAGAAATAACATTTTCATGAATAGTTTTAAAACACGCAATAAAGCCAACTTTCCTATAGGCTGGGGGAGGGGATCGCTTTTTCTTCTTGTCTTGCTGAGAGCTCCTTTGCAGTAGCTCAGATTTTCATTTTTCAAGACCCATGATGTAATTCCATTAATTAGCCAAAGTGTGTTGGGGTGTGGGAGGGACAGCATGGAAGCAATCCAGAAAAGATCAAAACTTACACCGTCAAGAGGAAGACAGCAGAATCAAATTACTGACAAGTGGGAAATGGGATATGTAATGTCAAGCCCTTTGACTCTCTCCCTACTCCTGTACGCATGGTCTATGGCCTGATGAGCATGTCCTCCCAGCCATGAAATTATGCAAAGTGCATGATGCCTTTCTCCAGCTGGCCCCTAGTCTGCTCACCTGTGTCAGCATTTGGGGATGGCCTATAGCCTCATCTATACTTGCAGATCAATGTGCCCTGGAAAACTATCCCAGCAGATTGTACAGCTGAAATAAAACATGTGTTCACACTGGTGGAGTTTGTGGGTTTTCTCCTCTCCAGAAAGCAGTCAGAAAATCTGAGCATAGGAGTGACTGTGGGGAGCGCTGAAGTACATTTACAACTGAGAGCCACACTTCAGGAGTTGAGCCTCCATGGCTCCTGGGTGTACTGGAGCCACAACACCCAGGCAAAACCCCAGAGTCAATTTCCAGGTCCACTTGGCACCTGACAAAGTCTCACTCAGAGGCAGTGGTGAGGGAAAGTCAGTATCACAGGACAGTACCAAGGATATGCAGCAGGAATGTGTGTTGTCATAGCTGTCTGTCACATCAAAGGCTTCCCACTACATAAACCCCTCAACCCTGTTTGCCTCATGCCTGTGTTAAAATCATGAGTAATTAATAAAAGATTAACTGCCTTGGTCTTCTAAAGAAGTGAAGAAGGACTTCATGAACCGTGTTTATAAATAAGGACAAAGAACCACAGAGGGGCCAGTGTAACTGACACTATCAACTGAAAACAGAGAGGTGGCTCAGTAACAATGACCCTTGTCTGTAGGAAGAATCCATTTAAAATCTCAGAGTTCACAGCTAGTCCATTTCTTAGCATCAAAACCATCATTACTTTTTCTACATGGAGGACAGTTACTACCATATCACATATTAAGATGGTGTGACCCTGGTCACCAGCTGACTCAGTCTCTTCAGCGGACAAAGAAGTGAGGAAGGAAGACATTAAATGACATAACTGTGGTGTCACTTGAACAAGAAATACCAAGGGATTAGGGGAGCACAGTTCTGGGTGTGTCTGGATGATGAATTTACCCAGAGGAAAGGCCCACCCTGGTTGGGGGTAGCACTAACCAGGCTTGTAGCCCAGATGGAATGAAAAGGGAAAGAAGAAGGAAGTCTGCCCTTTTTGCTCCTTGGGAGGAGTTTCAGCCTTCAATCTGGCCTTTGGGTGTTTATCCAGGATTCCAGTGAAGACTTCTCAGCCTTCCAATGTGGACACTTCAGCTTTCCAAAATGTACTCCCACTGGACTCTGTAGTGAGTTCCAGGCCTTCAACTTTTGACTGGATGCTCTAGCTCTCCAGCATGCAGATAGTAGTGTGCGTATGTGTGTGTGTGTGTGTGTGTGTGTGTGTGTGTGTGCGCGCGCGCGCGTTCGCTTCCTCTAGTGAACTCTAATAATATGCTTTCCCACCATCACACAACCAGCTAGTGGAAAAGCCAAAAGAACCCAGAATTCCCCAAACTCCCACCACACCCTGATCCCGGGTTGCCACAGAAAAGCATTCTATTACTCGTGTGTTTCCAGGCTAAGCAACATTTCTGCTAGGCAACTCTCCCCTCTAGTCAGCTGGAAAATCTCCTCCCAGCCAAGCTGAGCCCCTGACTAATGCCTTCCTGGTTTGAGAATGAAAAGTTTCTTCTGTGTTTTGGGAGTACAAAGCCCTCAAAGAACTCCAGAGGGCTTGCCTACAGTTCAGTCTGTGATTTCTACCTCTTTCTGGAAACTCCTTGAAATCTCACACCCTGCCCTGGGTTCTTTTATATTCCTGTGGATACTTGGCATCATACTAAGCACACAGCAGGTGCTCAGCACATCTTTCTGGGTAAAAGAAGAAAGGCTAGCCTCCTCTCTCATCTCAGCTGTATAATGCTGCTCCCTGGGGACCCTTCTCCTCACTGCAGGGCCTCTTGACTGCTTTGCTGGGAGGGGATGTATCAAGACCAGAGCCTGCAGGCAGCTCTTCCTCGTTCCATTCAGACAAAACATCTCTCCCTCACTTCTTCAAAATAAGGCTAAACCAACACTGTGACAATGTTGTAAGGAAAAGGAAAGCCAGTGAGGTGTTATAAAATTATAAGGTCGATCATTTTGTATATTATAATTTATCAGCACTGGTCAGCCCCTTGAACAGGATCACAGCCCTGTTCTATCTCTGAGTTCCCCTGAGTGAGTCATAGAGCAATTAATTGCCCCAAGCGAAGTGTTATTACACAATAGGAAAGAACCCTACAAACCTGTACCTTGTGTTTAAAAGCTACGTCTGCCCTGTGAGAAGGAGCCCATCTCTTCGCATCCTCGGCTCATTTGTAAGGTGAAGAAGCTGGACCTGACACAGCCTGAGGTCGCTTCCAGTTTTCATTTTCTGTAGCTCCTGTGATCTGTCATTCCCAATTCCTATGAGTTGCGGAAAAGAGAAAACTTTCTGAAATTTCAGCAAAAAGAAGCTAAAAATAAAAATTCCCTTGAAATGAAAATCATTAGCCACTGCAGAGCTACTACTCATACTGTTGATTGATGGCCTCCAATCATAAAGGACTCTCCTATGTGCAAGTTCTGTCCATAGTCATTAACATGATGTAATCTCTTTAGTTCCCCCAAGTGACCTATGCTATTATTACCCTATGCACTGAGCAGGAAGCCAAAGCACTGCCCAGGGTCACACGGCTTGTCAAGTAGCTGAACCGAGACACAGGTGCAGGCAGCCCACCCCACAGCCTCCGGACCCTCCAGTTCAAAAGTCTTCCTTTCCTGGAGCATATTAAATGTGATTTTTCAAATCACGTCTGTGAGCAAATACCCTGGGCTCATGGAATGGGCCCAACACCCTACCAGAGCTTTCACAGACTCCAGTAGACTCTGTCAAAGCAAGACACGCACAGAGGGTGGGATTGTCTCTGGTTGGGACCTCATGATGTTGCTCTTACTCTTAGCATCTGAGAAGATGGTAGCCTCTGGTTTGCAGCATTTTCCCACCCTCAGTCCGCAGTACGTGGTATCTGCCTGTGTGGCTCTCCTTCTGCTGTTCTATCTGGCAATGCAGGCGTCATCACTTTGAGGTGATGTAATGTCTGTCTTTTATGATTTTTATCATGCTTCCTCTTTCCCAGAGGTCCAGTGTTTCAGAGGGCTTGTGAGATATTGCGGACTTCCTGATGCTCACCTGCGCCTCTGAATTTAACTTCAGATTCCTTTATATGAACTGGTACCTCCAAGAAAGACCACATGGATGTTTCCAAGCTTTGTCCTTTGAAAGATATTAAGCTTTATACAACTTCCAAGGAGGAAGATTTGTTATCACCAGCAACGGTGTCAATAATCAGTTATATTTACAAACCAATAGATTGAAATAGGAAGACCCCATTGACTATTACTGTGCTTGTAATAGGGGGATCTGAAATCTCCCCAGTAGGCAGAGCAGGAGAATCTGCACATAAGAAAGTGGTCTTTCTCTAGCTGGGTCTCCCTCTCCGCATCTACATCTCCACCTGGATCATACTGGAACTATTCTTACTTACCTATGGAACATAACTTCTTCATTTTACTCCTTTGAAATTTCCTGTTTTTTTCCCCTCCAACTTACTTATGCAGAGCCAGTTAAACCAAAGAGTGGGGAAAAGTATGTTGGGGGATCAGAGTGATAAAACTTGAGTGACTCTTCCAGAAGTCCTATTCACCTGAGGGATCGTTCTAAACAATTACTGGGTAATCAGACAATCTAGCCTTCACCTGCCTCAGGTGAGGCTCGTTGCCCATGATAGTTTTTTTCCTTTGTCTTTGGACACTGGAAGAAATAAACAGAAAAGGCAAAATGTGTGACCATGCCAGGGTGAAAGAAAGATGGGAGTGGACTTTTTGTGAGTTCAAAGTAATTGTCTGCTGTAGTCCCTGCCATGTGTACAGGCCCATGAAAACTTTGTTTTCAGAAAAGATCTCATGGCATAACTTATTTAACTTATTGGTTTTCCAATAAGTAGTAATATAGTACAGGTAGGTAAAGTGATACACAAAACTTAATAAGCATAATCATTCCCCCAAAATATTACTGTATGTTGGATTTTAAAACAAGAATCTGCATATTGTCTCTAACTTTACCAAAGTCAACCCACCATAAATGCATTAAAAACTTTAGACTATACACTGCAAATATCTTTTTAAATTCTTTTATTGGCAAAAGAAAGTCAGACAAAAATCAGACAACTTCTCACGTATTAATTCTGGCACCTTAAAGAAGGTTGCTTAATTTCTCTAAATCTCTAATTCTTCATCCTTACAACAGGGGAAATCATTTTGTAGGGTTATTACAAGGCTTAAATTAAATAACTGCTGGCAAGCACCTGGCACACCTGGGTGAGAATCACCCTAAAGGTGCTCAATAACATGAATACGCCATAGCTCTCAATACTTTATGGTATAAAGTAAACTACTTACCCAGAAGAGAAGTGACTCATCCAGAAGAGAAATTGCCAAAAAGTGAGAATGAAAGGGTCATTTCCAGTGACTATGAATGTTTTCCCAAACAAAGACATTCACATGTACCGCCATTTTTCATAAAGGTTCCCCCATCAGGAGTGGTCTTCCCCAATAACCTCTCTGAGTTCTTTCCCTGCGCTGATGATAGTCAAATCCCCAAAGGCAAGGTCACCCCTGTGCAGTGTTTCTCTTCCCTAAGATGCTGTGTCCTCATTGCTCTTTGTCTGCACCAGATTAAAGTGTCTCTGCCCTACCAGAAATAACAGGGACAGGGCTGGGAATTTAGCTCAGCGGCAAAGCACCTGCCTGGCACGCTCAACGTCTTGAGTTTGATTCCAGGTACCAGAAAAAAAAAATTTTTTAAAAAAAAGAAATAACACGGACAATGAATTTTTCATACCAAACTTCTTTTCCAGTAAACATGGCTCAGATGTCTGGGACAAGAGCTGTTCAAGGAGTGGTCTCAGTTTTCAAAAAGCTCAGGCCTTATCCAGCTTTAGTAATGCGCTCCCAAAAAGCCTCTGGTTTTAGGATACATTTAGCCACTGTACCCTTTTAGGAATAGAGACACATTTTCTGACCTTACAAAGCAAGCTATACTGTTAATTGCTACCCATGAAGCATGACATTTGTCCAACTTCCTGTTGTCCATGCTCTCCACCTGGTGTTAGCTTTCACTGTAGTAATTGACCGAGAAAGCCAAGTTCCCCTAAATAAATCTGAAAGATAAATATCCTCATTCCAGTCCTCTGGCTTCTTTCACTAAAGAATCACAGGGACCTGGTCTGGGGGAACTAGGGAAAAAGCCACAGAATCGGAGTCACTGTCTTGCCAGAAATGCACGCTCTGATGGAAGTTGATGATCAACGTGTCTGTGCCAAATCACAAACTGGAAAGAAGCTACTTGAGAGCTAAGGAAACCTCCACCTGCCAAAAACTAGCAGCCTGTTGAAAAAGTAACTCATTTAGGAGGCCGAACACACTCCTAACTTTTTGTGGGCTTGTGGACAAGTCAGTTAATTTATTTGCACCTCATATTCCTATCTGTACAGTAAAAGAGTTTAATTAGATTAGATTGTTATTAGATAATCTCTACATTTCCTTCAGCATCAAGAAATTCTGTAGATCTCTGCCCAGAAAGAAAGAGAAGGATTTATTTGTGGGACAAAGGGGATCAAATTGGACAGATTCTCAAGATTTAGGAAGCATAGATCTCTGCCTGCTGATTCTTTTATATGACCCAATAAGGATAAAATCCAAAAAAGAACTGAATGAAATACACTCATGATTAATCAAAGGGGACTGAAAGTCATTGCTAACCTCATAGCTACCTGGTATCACCCCCAGCTCACCTCCCTTGGGATACTCCTCCCCTTCTTTAATGCCTGGTTGTGATTCTCAAAAGCTGTGATCACTCAAGGTTGAAGCTTTTAATCTCCCATGTATAAAAGGATATGCAAATAGAGTTCAGTTTCCTGTTGAGTCCTTGCCAAGGTCTTAGCCTGGCAGTTCTGGGAAAGGAGCCAAGACCTCATATTTCTTGGCTGTTAACGTTCTCCCATCTGTGCTCAAGTCAGCAGACCGGGCTTCAGGCTGTGGCTTATCTTTAGTCTTACACTTCCCCAAAGGAAACCCGTTCGAATATCCCTGCAAGAAAGTAAGATACAGCTGGCTCCCAAATAACCACACAGAGCATTACCTTGTTATATTTGGGGGCAGACACAGAAAGAACCAGGAAGTGTGTATTTCTATATAAGAGCATCAGAATCCACTTATAAGCTACCCGAGATACTGATAGGAATTAGGTCTTAGGCAGGGTTTGCAATAAATCATCTGTCCCCAGGGTAGGGTTTCTGTCCTACACAGGATGAAAAAAGTAAGGTCCTCAGATACGGTAACAGCCCTGTGCAACATTCAAAAACAAAAGACTTTAAAACATAAGATATCTCAGCTTGTATTTGAGCAGAGTCTCCTGTTAAACAACAGAATAGGGGTCCAGAAAGTCCCCTGTGTCTTCCTGGCTGAGCTCACACAAAACAGCAGCTTCCATTTTTACTCCATGCAAGGCGCCCAGACCCATGTCCTGAAATGTTGTTACCAATTCTCGGACGGAGAATTGTGTGTTCCAAGGCATGTTAAACCTGACCGTTTATTAAACATGGATCTGTAACATTTTTTGCAAGTGTCTGACTTATTTGTACTTTCCAGTATTTTCTTACAGAAGCAACTTCCAGCAGGACTTTCCTGTACATTCTCGTTTTCATGGCAAGATCAGTGTATAAATTGGTTTTTTTTGTTGGGTTTTTTTTTTTTTTTTTTGGTTTTTTTTTTGTTGTTGTTGTTGTTTTGGTTTTTTCACAAACCTCTATGGAGAGATTTCTTTTTTTCATTTCTCTGGACTATACCAGTTAAAAAAACCAATCATTCACTTGATGTCATCTGAAATGTATTGTCTCTAAGTCCTCTCTCTCTCTCTCTCTCTCTCTCTCTCTCTCTCTCTCTCTCTCTCTCTCTCTCTCTCTCTCTCTCTCTCTCTCTCTCCCCCGCCTCTCTCTCCCTCTCCCTCTCGCCCCTTAAATACTTTGAAATCTACTCACAGAATATCCATACTCTGCAGAATTTTCCTCCTCTCAGTTCTCCCTCCCAGCTCTCTCACCTGAGCTTAACATCCTACAGCAATGATCATTCCAGACCCTTTACGTCTCAGCAGGAAAGTGATATAAAACAGGTCCCTTCCTGTTCTTGTTTTTCCCTCTCAGCCCCACCCCATCCTGTGCAAGTCTGAACATTAGCACCTCCTTGCGCCCTTTGTGGGCATTTTTCTCAAAGACTTATCCCAGAGCAGCATGTTTTGACTGAGCCTGAACTCTAGTCACCCTTGGACTGCCAAACTCAGAGAGACTCAGGAGTTTTTATCTACATCCCAGTCACTGCAGTTTGTCACTGGAAAAGGTTGGGCCATGGATAGATGACTCTCGCAAAGGCTCAAGACTGAGTCTCAGATTCTACAATACATAAAGATCTTACAAAGCTCCCAGGCAAAGTCATGGAATGCATCAGTCCTGTGGGCTGAATGAACGCAACTCAGATCACACGACTTCAATGGAAGAAAGAGGCACTGTCACCCTAAACTACTCCAACCCTGGACTATGTTTGTTTGCCTAAGACCACACCTTGTCCTACAATATGTTTATGGTAGGCCTGGTCTACTCAAAAATTGCCTAGAACAAGTCAACACAGGCTTATATTAGTCCAGAGACCCACAGTCAAATAAGACTCCAGAGAAAAATCCTCTCCTCTCTCCCATGTAAAGACTCCAAGGATTCTATGGAAAACAGGTCTCTAGTCACTCTATATTTCCATTTGAATGTATTTCTCATAGTTCCCACAAGTTGTTTCTGCATATGTAGAATTTAGGATGAAAATAGAGACTCTATCTCACATACACAAATTAACTTAGCTATCCGTTCAGATGGACCATGTGGAGGAAGAACCGTTTTGCACAGCATTTACTGACCTTTGAGAAAAACAAGAGAGAAAATTTCTTCCTACCACGGCTTTTTCTCTGGCTACATTGCTTGCCAGTAAGGGGTCAGGATGGTTCTGCCATAGCTTTTTCACTTCCACGTCCCAAGTCATGTTGCCTCTGGGGACTTAGCTCAGCGGCACAGTACCTGCCTGGCAAGCCCAAGGTCATGAGTTCAATTCCCGGTACCGGAAAAAAACAAAAAACAAAACAGAAAAAAAATCAAGTCATGTTGCCTGTGTCACATCTGGAGGAAGAATCTCTATGTTTGGCAGTGTGTGAGCCCTCACACTGATGCTGTTAGTCAGACCTGACCATATAGCCTGTTCAGTAGTCCTGGAAAAGCCTGTGTCCCAAGAGAGAAGTAGGAAGTGGTGCGACAGATGAGGTCTGAGTGCTGGGAAACTGCTCGTGTCCTGTACTGTCTCGGTCCTCCCACTTGCTGCCTGATCCAACAGATGCAGCTTCCTTAGCAGGCACCAGAGCCCCAGAATGTCCACATCCTGTGGTACCCTGTACCCCTAGCATCCAACATTTGAGTTCCTTTCCAATTCAGAGAACAAAAGCTGCTGGCTTTTGGCCAATTCACAACAGATGTGGGCCACAACCGCCACTTACCCAGGAAGCAGCCACCAGAGCTGGGCCTGAGAATCATCTTCTTAGCGATTCCCATACACGTGATCCCTTCAATCATTTAACACTTGCTCAAAGAGAGAGACTAGGTGACTTTCTTCAGAGAATCTCCTCGTATTTAATTAATTCTCTTGGGAATTAAGAAAACTAAATTACTAATAAGATTTATGAAGGTTGAAACAGAATTAAGGAAATCATTGGAAACCAGGTTATATACCTTTACAGGAACTTCGGGAAAATCAGATCTACCTATAACCCTGACATAACACCTTCACGTGTCACTGACCTGACCCATCTCACTGAATCGCACATGGTGGTCATACACTGGGTAGAACTCAAACTAAGGGAAAGACTTTTCCCTCTCTGCATATAGGACAGTGGTAGTGGGGGTTCTGGTGATCAGACTCACATTGCTAATTTGTACCAGGGCTTACGAGGTTGTTCTTGTGTTGCAACTCTCTGTGCCCTGGTTACCCCTAAGTCTGTAGAATTTTTCTCCCAAACTATTTTTCCCCAAGAAAATTATCCTTGCTGTATGCCTATTTAATAAAACTAAGAAAAATAAGAAAAGGAACTAAGTACAAGGAGTAGAATAAAGACATTACTACCCCAGGAAATACTGTTGTGGACTCACAGTATTGGTATTAACCTGACCTCCTCAAAGAATGTGAGTTTTCCTAAGGCTCTGAAAGAATACCTAAAAATTCAAGTAAAGTCGCACTCAAAAAAAAAAAAGAAAAAAACTGCTTAGCTGTTGCTGGAATGCACAAAGTTCTGTCAGTGACTCAGGCAGGTTACTGAAGCCCATCCTTCTGGCAGCTGTAAAGTAGGTTGCCTTTTTCTCGGACCCTCCTCCTCATTGCATCTCTCATTGCTTTCATTCTATTCCCATCCAAATGCAATCTCAATGATTACTTGAATCCAATTTTCACTAATGTTTGAGTGATGGACACAGGGGAAGACATTAGTTTCTCTAAGATTGGAGACAGAGGTAACATTTTATTTTAAAAGAGATAATAGCCATACGCTAGAGACTGAAGCACTGTGGCAGAATTTTCAAAGCTTAAGCGACAGT